CTGCATCCATCCTGTGGGTTACATCAGCCCACGGGGAGGTAGGAGTGGAAGAGTTGGGAGATCTTAGCAGGGGTTATCCCGGGCCCTCAGAGAGCCCTGCCAGGGCCACAGGGTGCTGGGCGGCTGTGCCCCCTATCATCTCCTGCCTCTTCCAGGCTCCCTAAGCAGACACTCAAGGCGGTCACGGAATGTTAGCCGCTTGCCCTGGAGTGTGGCATGGCCACTCCAGGCACCCTCGGCACAGCCAGAGAGGAGCTGGGTGGAGCGTCGGGGTTCCCGAAGGTAGAGACGGCATGGCTTTATTGCGGCGACAAATCTGCAGCTCCGTGCGCTGCAACAGACGGGGGCTCTGCCGGCCTCCCCTCTCTCTCATGGATGCAATATCATCATCTCCGATTTTCTTATCATCATGGCAACCCTCCCCTGGGAGACACAGAAAGTCACAGTCCATGTGGGCAGCTCAGGCCAGAGGCGCTATGGGAGCCCAGGGGAGGGGGCCTGGTTCTTTTTTGGTTTAAGGGGGATAATTCTTAGAGGAATAGACATTTGCCATGAGCCTTGAGAAGTAAAGAGAGAAGGGGATTCCAAGCAAGAGGGCAGCCTGAGCACAGGCCCAGTGCTATGAAAGGGTGAGGCAATCTTGGGAGGGGTGGGGTGTGTGGGGGGGATGATGGACTTCCCCCGCAGGGGTCTTCCTGCGTGGCTGCAGGGGCTCTGGTCATAGGAGATAGGCCACTGGTGGTGGGGAGACTTCGTTGTCTGTGTCCCACCCCCACCATGCACTTCCTGGGCTCTAATGGGGACCACTCTCCCCTCCCACTCAGCCCCGGGCACAGCACGCTTTCCCATTTCTGTCTCTGGAATGGTCTCATCCGGCTAGGCTAGAAATCATGGGGTGATGGGAGGCGTCACATGGGACTCCCCCAATCTCTTCCACAGCCAGTCTGTTGATTATACCTTCCAAGTGTCTCTAGAATTCCTCCCTTCACCAGGAACCTGCATATGCCTCCCCCAGGTGAGGCCTCTGCCCCGCTGTCTGGCTCCCTGTTCCCCCGCCTCCAGTCGGGCACCTCTGCACTCCCCACAACCTAAGGAGACTGGTCCTCGAACAGCCTGAGTCTGGCAGCGCCCCCTCCGCCCAGGACGGGGAGCAGGCTTCCCAGCACAGCCTCAGGCTCAGGCCGCCTAGGAACAACCTCCCCTCCTCACACGGGAGCTACGCTGAGGCCAGATTGCTTTCAGTTCCCAAACACAAGAAGCTCTGGCACCCAGAGCATCCCGTGCCTTGAACACTTCCCCATTCGGTTAGACAGGACTAACTCTCAGACATCAGCTCAGGCCAGTTCTCCTGTCTGGGGTTTTCCTGGGCCTCAGCAGTGAGCACCCTGGGTGGCCTGGGTGTGTTGGTTCTTGTTGAGGAAATAAAGAACTGGTGCATCCCAGACAAGATTGCTGGTGTGGAGCAGACGAGGGGGCATAGGCCTGGGGAGGCAAGCAGAGGGCAGTGCAGGCCAGGCCTCCAACTCTGTGGCCTGAATAAATCACTTATTCTTCCTGGAGCCCTCTCTGTGAGATGGAGGGGTCAAACGAGCTTAAAACGGCCCTTGAAAGGCAAATGTACCATAGAAATTCAAGAGAGTTGACGGTCGCTGTCTGTCTCCTTCAGGGTCTTGGGCCGGGAAGATTCTCCAGGTATCCAACTTGTATGCCTCTTGCTACACAAGAAGCTGGTTTTGACACTGTGCTACCTCGCCCAGACATGCAGTCTTCAGGGGGCCCTGGGGGACAGCGTGAGAACTGTCCTCTGTCCTACCCAGTCCTTAACTGGCAGTATTAGAGTAATGAGTCACAGACAACAACCAATTAATTATCTCCAGTTATAAAAAGCTTCACTTCCCCTTCCTAGCTGTCGAGTGAGCCAGCCTCCTGCTGCCAGGCTCCTCTACTCCCTAGGGGCTGGGAGCAGAAGAGGGCATTTCACCTCTCCGGTCTGGTCCTGTTTCCTGTTTCCTTATGTGTCCAGTATGTGTCCTAGGGCTGGGGGACAGTAAGAGCAAAGGCTTGGAGGAGGTGGGACTGCATCGGCCTGGGGGTACAGGAAGGATCGGGCTGGTAGGGCAGGAAGGAGGCTGCCAGCTCCAGTGCAGAGGAGGGGGCTCCTCCCCACTCCCCAGGATCCACTCCAGTACTCCGGGGCCACTGTTGATCCCAGAACCTTGGAGGGCTCCTCCTCTGGCATTCAAGCCACGCCCACTCTTGCCCCCAAGCTCCTGGTCCCACAAGCCACGCCCACTCTTGCCCCGCAGGCTCCTGGTGCCAAGTTCTTCCTCCATCTGGCAACTTCCCAAATCCTCCTCCCGCCCCTCCTTTCTTCCCCTTCTGGCAAGTTCTCACTTAATCACATACTCCAAACATGCGTGTTCTCCCCTCCAGCCTTCATCTTCCTGTGGCTCCTCTTGTAAATCTTTCCTGGACTCCAGGTGTGATGCGGCTTGAAGCCTCGAGATCTCCATTGGCATCACAGTTAAACCCACCCCACAGCGGCGACCTAACAGGGCAAGCTCTCGGTAAGCTCTCGGCTCCTGGCATACAATAGGTACTCAATAAATGTTAACTGTTCTTCTCATGGTTTATTTCCCAGCCTGAGCAGGATCATGATGAAAGGCTTCTGTAACTCACCACCCACAGTCTGTCACCCCATTTCACAGATGAGGATCAGATAGGTCTGATCAGATAGGCTTCACAGAAGAACTTGACCCAGGGCTTGTCGGAGTTGGGAGGCGCTAGGGGAGGCTCCCTCAAGAGGACTTGAGGGGAGGCCGTGCCTGGAAAGGGGGAGGGGAGGGGTCCCCAAAGTCAGAGGGGAAGGTGGGGCTGAGAAGAGGCACAGGCCCAAAGTTGGAGCCCCTGCCCCTTTGGGGGGCCTTTCCTCTACTGCCTTGGCAATGCTCCTTCATTGCACCCAATCCGTGCCCCCAGAGCTCACTCGGGGGCCTGTTTGTTCAGCAAAGCTTACGGAAAACCTACTCTGCACCAGCCCCGACTCTGAAACGCCGGATTGCTATTCCCTCCCTGTGTCAGGCCAGAGAGCCCAGCCCCCCTCACGGTCCCCAGCTGGCCATCTCTGGAGGGACTGGGGAGAAAAAAAAGGGGGGGAGAGAGAAAGGGTGAGCAGGCTGAGGCTAGAACCCAGGAAGTGGGTGGGGAAGCAGAATGAGGTGAGTGGCAGGGAAGGTGGAGGATGCTCATCCTCAGCTGGGAGTCTCGGAGCGAGGGTCGCCTGAGGTAAGCTCAGCCCGTTCTGCGGAGGCCCTGACACCCAGGGCTGCAGCAAAACCCTCCCTCTCGCAGCCCAGCTGGCCTGTGGCCCTCCTGCGGCCCCACCCCCTTCGCTCCACACCAGGCTCCCCAGACGTAGGCATTCGCAGAGACTGCGCGGCTTGGGCTCCCAGTCAGCTCAAAACCGGCCTCAGCCCACCACTTCCTCCGCCCTGGGCCCTGTGCTGGCCACAGCCGCGGCCTATCACTTCCTGACTCTGAAGCCTGGGATGGGCCTGCCCTGGGCCTGTGGAGGGCTGTCAAACGTCCTGGGAGCTATGCCTTCCTCCAGCAGCTACTCCGACGGCCAAGGGGCTTGCTGCTGGGGGGCTCGGCCGTCCTGCTCCCTCTCCGTCAGCTGTCTTCCCTCCCGGGGCTGTTGGACCCGCACTTGCCCTGGAGCTGGATCACAGCTCTGCCCTCTCACTGGCATTCCTGGCTTCTGTTTCCCCTGTGAAACGGTGGTGGCGACACCCAGCTTAGGGGCCCGGTGGGAGGAACGAGAGTGGCGTGTCAGTGCTCAGCAGGGGACCCGGCACAGACACCTGCTGCCCGCTGCCTGCCGAGCTCCTGCCCTTCCTGACACGGGGAGGCCCTGCCGCCCGCCCGTCCCTGGGACCTGCCCGGTGGCCTGGGGCGGGCCCCTCCCTCTCCCCCTCCCTCTCCCTCTCCCTCGCCTCAGTTTGGCATGTCCCCTTCTCCGGGCTGGGAGTGGGTACGTGGTGATGTCAGACCACGTGCTCACCAACTGACACCTGCTTCTCACCACTCAGGGGGCATGAACCCAGGCTCCTGAGTCAGGCTAGTGCTCTGTTGGTCCCCAGCACAGGCAGAGGAGGAGGGTGGGAAGGTGGACAAGCTTCCCCATCCTCCCCCCATCCAAGGAGCCTGGTGATACCTGGCCTCTGACCTCAGCTGCCACCCACACCCTTGGCCACTCCATCCTGTTTCAAAGCTGGCTCAATTCGGAGGCTGGCTTCTTTGTTTAGACAAGCAGGAGAGAGGAGGAGAGCGGTTTTCCAGGCAGCAAAGCTTTTAGATAAACACTATTTATCTCCCTCCCTTTCCTCCTGAAGGAGTTGGGTTCCTTCAGAGAAGAAACTAGATCCAGCCGCTAACAGTGCCCCAGGGACAGAAGCCCGGCTCGGCTCAGCTCAGGGTCTGGCCTGGGGTGCCGAACACTGAGCGAGGCTTTCTTCATCCTGCTGCCAGCTCTTGACAGGTCTGTGGCTCAGGTGACGGAGCCCTGAGGCCAGGCCACGGCCCCTGCCAGCTCCCAGGCTCTGGGATGGCCTGGCCCACCTCCTCACCCTCCCCTCCAGCCACCCGCCTGCCCGCCTGCCTAGCTGCCAGGAAGCTGAAGGCTTCTGCTCACCTTGGGGGAAGCGGGGGAATGAGCCCTTCCTGGAGCGCCCCTTTCTGCCCAGACCTCCGGAGCAGCCCAGGTCCCATGTGCCCAAGGAGAGTTCACCAGCTCCATCCAGGACAAGATGGCCCACTTCCCTGCCCGCCTGGTCAGGTAGATTCCGGAATGACCGTGGGCCCGTGTTACAGAAGGAGAAACTGAAACCCAGCGGGGCACTGCTCCGTCCAGAGCCGCCCGGCAGAGTGAGAGGGCGGAGACCCTTCCCCCGGGCCCTGGGGCGCCCTAGGTCCCCCGACCCCGTCCCAGCCTGGCTCACCGGCGTGGTGTCATCGTGGGACCGCTGGTAGCGCTTCCAGCGGCAGCCGTAGATGCCCGTGAGGCAGGAGAGGCACAGCTGGGGCTCATAGTACTGCAGCGGCTGGTGTCTCACCATGCTCTCACCTGCCGCCGGGTGCCCGGCCCTCAGGCGCCCATGGAGGCCTCCGGCCGATCCTGCAGGAGGAAGCACAGGCCTGTGAGGCAGGGGAGGGCGCGGGGACTCAGCCCCAGACACAGCAAGAGTCCCCGTCGCCCTGTTAGGTGCCAGTCCCCGCCCAGGGCCCTGCCGTGAGGCCTACACAGCTGGAGGCCTGCACCCCCGCGGCTCCCCGGGGCCGGTCTCCTGCCCCTCACCCTGACCCCCTCACCCCCAGCCACACCTGCTCTGTACCTGCCCCTGCTGCCTCGGCCCAGAATGCTTTTCCCTTCGAGCCCCACAGGGCACCTTCCTTCCCCTCCTCTGGTCTTTGCTCAAATGTTCTTTTCTCCACCACACTTTCCCAGGCGACCTCCTATAAAACTGCAACACCTTCCCATACGCCCTCAGCCATTCTCAGCTTTATTTTCTCAATCATGTCCCCCAGTGTACTTTGTTTAAAATAGACCAGGCACGGTGTGACCACTGTGTGCCTCGAAGCCGACTGACAACTGGATAAACGGAGGCTCAGGGAGAGAAAGGGACAGTGCCGTGCATGCAGTCCAAAACCTGGCTGTGGCCAACCCGAGAGTCTGCTCTTGTGCCCCAAAGTGCTCACAGCTTTGGGCTCCGGGAGTCCTGCCGTGGTTGTGGGAACAATGAGAGGTGTCTTGTGGGTTGAGTCGCTGCCACCAGGAGCAAGTGCCCCGGCCCTGCTCGGCACCCTGGAGATGCCTGCTGGGGTATCAGCCACTCGGGGCTAGCATCGGCCACATGGGACCTGGCTTGGGTGCCTCACACACCCTGACGAGGAGCCTGGGGCTCAGAGCAGCCCAGCGATTCGCCCAAGGAGTCAGGACTCAACCCCGGGTCTATGGGACTCCAGAGACTCTAAGCCACATGTTATGTATGGGGTCCTGTCCTTGGTCTTGGAGACACCGTGAACGGGACAGGCACACTGATGCCCTCAGGGCCCCACAGGACCAGTGAGGGACAAAGCCAGTCACTTACTGTGCACTAACTCTTTTTTTATTGTTATGTTAATCACCATACATTTTAGTTTTTGATGTAGTGTTCCATGATTCATTGTTTGTGCATAACACCCCGTGCTCCACGCAGAACGTACCCTCTTTAATACCCATCACCAGGCTAACCCATCCCCCCACCCCCTCCCCTCTAGAACCCTCAGTTTGTTTTTCAGAGTCCATCGTTTCTCATGGTTCGTCTCCCCCTCCGATTTCCCCCCCTTCATGCTTCCCTTCCTGCTATCTTCTTCTTCTTCTTTTTTTCTTAACATATACTGCATTATTTGTTTCAGAGGTACAGATCTGTGATTCAACAGTCTTGTACACTTCACGGCGCTTGTGCACTAACTCTTATAGCGACCCTGTGAGGTATTATTTTTTTATTGAAATCAAATTCACAAGCCAAGACATGCACCCTTTTAAAGGGTACAGTTCAGTACTTAGCGTATTGTTTCCAGTATAGTCACAAAGTTGTGCAACCATCGCCGCCATCTGATTCCAAAGCATCTTCATCATCCCAGCAAAACACCCAGACCCATTACTACTCACCACCCCATGCCTCTTCCCCCCGCCCCTTCCCCAGAGACCACTAATATACTTTCTGAATCTATGAGTTTGCCTTTTGTGGACATCGCCTATCATTGCAATCATATAATATGTTAATTAATAGTTCTCGAGGCTCATCCTGTTATAGCAGGAATCAGTACTGCACTCCTCTTTAGGGCTGAATGACACTCAATTGTATGGACAGACTATTTTATCCATTCAACAGCTGAGGGACATCTAGGTTACCACTTTTGAGTTGTTAGGAATAACGCTGCTAATGAACAAGTTCTCGCGTGAGCGTGTTTTCATTTCTCTTGTGTACATGCTTTGGAACAGAAGTGCTGGGTCATATGGCGACTCCATGTTCAACCCTTTGAAGAACGGCCAAGAGCCATTTCATAAAAACAGCAAAGCACTGCACCATTTTACATTCCCCATGTATTATCATCATCACCCCCATTCTCCAGATGGGAAATCTGAAGCACAGAAAGGTTCAGCCATTGGCCAAAGGTCACACAGCAGAGCCCGTCAGCCTGGCTCCAGGGGCCTTGCTCTAACCCCGGGGTTGGCAAATTGTAACTCAGGCGCCAAATCTGACCAGTCACCTATTTTTATATAGGCCGCAAGCTAAGAATGGCTTTTCTGTATTTTTACAGTTCAGGGGCAAAAAATCAAAACAAAAATATTTTGCAACACATGAAAATTATAGGAGAGTCAGGTTTCAGTGTCCATAAATAAAGCTTTATTGGCTGCAGGCATGATCGTTTGTTTATGTATCGTCTATGGCTGCAACAGAAACTGCAGAGGGGAGTGGTTGTAGTAGAGACCGAAGGGCCCACAGAGCCTAGAACTTACTGCCCAGCCCTTGATGGGGGCAGTCCGCTGACCCCTCGGCCACTGGGTTGGCCACGGTGGCTCAGGAGCTGGTATTCTGGAGAGAGTAAAGGTGGGCTGTGGGTACTTAGCATTGTGCATGGATAGTCAGGACACGCTTCCAGGAGGCAGCCCCGAGCTGAGGCCTGTCTCTAAGTGCCCCAGGGGCCGCTCCAGAGGGGCAGGCTGGGCCTCAGGCCCACTCACTACTTCCACCTTGGCCTCACTCAGGGCCTCTATCTACTGTCATCCGCCCCCCACCGCCACCACCACCAAATGCTCACCTCAGCGCAGGGATTAGAGCCTCTGGTCGGTAAGAGGGGGCGAGATGCGTTAGGGCCTTGCTGGGAATATCGACTGACTCGGAGCCTCCTAATTGCTGGGAATTGTCTGGTGTAGCTTCTGGGCCCGTGGCTCCCTGGGGAGGCATGTGGACTACCGTGCAGCTGCTGGGGGCTCTCGGAGCCAAGCTGAGCCCAGGTTTTAGGGGATGTGTGTGCTGTTGCAGTCTGGTGGCTTAGGTCCCATGGGGTTGGGGAGAGGAGAGGGGCTGTTGGGAGGGGTGCTCTCAGCTTTACTTTATTCTACTCCAGAAGGATTGTGTGCTCACAAATGTACTCCTACATTCCCAGTCTTCCAGAGCGGGTAGAAGGCCAGATCTTACAGAGCCAGGGAGCCAAATCTTACCCCAAGATTAGGGCCTCTACTGGCCAGATCAATCACATCTGTCCCACCTTTGCCCTGTGGCTGGGGCCTCCAGGGTTCTTCCTTGATCCTTGGTTTCTCAATCTGTAAAATGGGTAACAGCCTGTGCCTTGACTCCTATAGGAGACCGGATTATGGGGGGGAGGGTGCAAGGAGGACAACATCACTGCAGTGACTGAGGTATACAGCAGGCAGGCATTCCGTGAACGGGAGCCCACACCCAGGTTCCCCTGTTCTCACACGCCTTTTCCAGGACTCGCCAAGCCCGGGACTGATTCCCACGTGTCCCCTGCCCTCCCCCGCCCCAGCCCGCAAACATTACAAGGCACCAAGAATGGAAATTCCACTTCACATCAGGGAAGCAGAACTGCCTGCACTAGGCCTTGGCCCAGGGCTCAGCTGATCGTGTCTCTGGGAATTGCCTCCCCTCCCCGCCACCCTGCCTGGTAAATTTTCACACTGTTCATAACTGCATGGGCATCTTGGGGAGGCCAACCTCTTCTCTCGCCTCTGCATGCTCTCCTGGGGCCTTTTCGTCCACTCCCAGGGCTTCGGTTACCAGGTGTGGCCAAGCCCACTCAATTGCTGTCTCCCGACTGAGACAGCCAGTGGCTCCTGGCTGCCTCCAGGGGTGTCCCCCAGGCCCTACAGACCCAGCACAGGCCACCCTGACCCCCTTGCCACCCCAACCTGCTTCTAACATCCCTCACAGCCTCTTCTCACCAGCCCCTTGGCCACTGGCCTGGCCCGGGGTCTCCTCTCTCCCCTAGACAGGAAATCCTCTGGCCTCCCTATGGGGGTCACACCCCACCAATCTGAGCCCTCCCCTGTGGCCAAAGTGAGCTCTTTAACAGGCAAATGGCCAGGATCTGACTCTCCTAACCTCACCTTCCAGAATTTGCTGTCCCTTCTGCTGATGAACAACTCCCCACGCTTTGAGTCTCAGCTCAGATGTGACCTCCTCCAGGGAGCCTGCCCTGAGCTCCAGGTTTGGTTAGAGGGTTTCCCAGCTTCCCATAGCCCCAAGTGTCCCTCAGTCTTCCCCAGGCACCCCATGTGAGCACGGCTGATGGGCCTGCCTCCCCCATGGAATGGCCTGAGTTATTCCCATGTCCCCAGTGACCAGCCGTAAGAGGCGGGGGGCACTGGGGACTTGCCAGACTGGACTTCTGCGGCGGCCCGCAAGTTCTGCTAACAGAGATGTGCTGTTCAGTCACTGAGCAGTCAGACAAGCTCCCAGAGACCAGACTCTCCCCAGCCTCCCCCGACACCTCCTCTTCCTGCCAGGGCTAATGACATTACTTAGGATTGATCGATTTCTCCAAGCCACCTCCAGGACCTCTGACATCAGCCAAGTTCCCAAGAAATCCCTAGCCAGGAGCTCCTCCTGCTCTGGGATAAGAGAAAGCCCTCACCTCTGAGCCTGATGTTCAAGGGCGTCCCTCAGTCCAAAGTTCCATTTTCTGTCCAAACTCCTGGCCCCTGCCCTGAACTTTCACAGCCTCCTGTTTTATACACAGAAGGACCTGCAAGGGGTTGGGTCTGGGATGGAGTGAGCACCTGCTATGGAGCAGAAGCAGGGTACTGGCACCTCTAGGCTCCTCTCCCACCCTGACATCCTGGACATGGACCTGACCCACGTCCCTGCTCCTCTCTCGCGTGACCACCCTCACTGCCCAAGCCCGTTCTCTTTCCTGAGAGTGGAAAGCATTTCAGGCCAGGTGTCAGTGCCCAGGTTCCAGCCTGGTCTTCAACTGACCTGCTGTGCAACCTCAGACGGCTTACTAGCTCTCTCTGAGCCTTACTTTACTTGCCTGAGAAATGGAGACTAGATGGAGTGACACCAAAAAAGGACCCAAGCAGGGGCATCTGAGTGGCTCAGTCAGTTA